CGAAAAATGTTGGAGCAGTACCCGCTCAGCGGCGGTCGCGAACGTGTCAGGGAAGCTTACGGGATCCTCGGAGAAGTGACTATTGATAGAGCTGGATTATTCCGAGTAAGATGTTCGCAGCATCACTTCGTAGCATAGCTGGTACAACTTGTGCGGGTTGGCGGTGCGATGTGCGTCCAAGACACCTTTCAGGGATGTGTCCGTTCCTTTATAATGAGGAATGCTGGACCCATGTCTTAGAGTTTTTGGTGAATTTTGACGTAATGTTAAGACTGCTTTCCACTGTAACAGTTCCACTGATACGGAAGAACATGGCCAGCCGCTGACCTCAGTTGCCATAACCCTCCTTCAGCATATGTAGTTCATGTTTTGATTCATGATTCATGATTCATGATTCATGATTTATTATTGGTCATAAAAGTAACAGAATAAGGCCAATGACATCAAAATTACCAATAAAACAGCAAAACAGCATGTAAAGTGAAGGAAGTTACAATTACAAATCAGCAAAGAGTGTAGCGGGGGAAAGTGGCTGCACATGGTGGTGAAGAGCAGTGGGCCGCCAGCACTGCAAGCCGCGAGCAACAGAGCGTCTCCGGATACCAACTTAGTAGGTCCGTCAACACCACCATGGTCCATGCTTTGAACTAGGGTCTAGACGCAACTATGTATGGTTAGTAACACTAAACAAATGGAAGGAACAACGCTTATGTCAGTAAACGAGAGAGATAAAAAAAACCAAGCAGTTATAAATGAACACGAAATAGGATTAACCCTCAAGGACGGCCGCTTACAACTGACACAACATTTACTGCAACCGTACTTGAGTTGACTGATTGCTACAGCCCTAATTAGTAACTCTAAAACCAGCCTTGACTTTTTAGGATTTTTTTGACTCTTTCTTTGAAAGATTTCGACGACATTGAATTCACTACCTCGGCTGGCAAGGTGTTCCAAAACGATATGACCCTTTGCGAGAAGCTGTTTCTATACGCGCTTGTGTGAGTCTTTTCTCTCAGCATTCTAAAGCGGTGCCCTCGGGTAACGCCTATAGTTCCAGACCTTCTAAAAAGAATATCGGGTTCAATATCGATTTCTCTCATAAAAAGCTTGTACATAACATCGTAGTCCATAATCTTTCTCCTCATTTCGAGTGTGGTTGTGGACAAATATTTGAGACGATCTTCATATGGTACATGAAATAAGCCTGCTCGTGCGAATATTTTCTCCGTAAACTTTAATTGAACCTGTTCAATTTGGCCCACTAGGGATCGAGTTTGATGGGGACCAAATAGGCGTGCAGTATTCTAAAAGAGGTCTGACGTAGGCAATAAAAAGGGTGAACAGTACCTTTATATGTCTAGTTGAGAAGGCTCGAATTATAAAATTAGACCGCGACTTGGCTCTATTCAACATGACAATGTATTCCTCAAGAGACAAGTTTTTATCGTATCTGATCCCAAGATCCTTCACAAATGTGGGTTCTTTGATCGGAAGACCATTGAGTAGGAACTCCATGCTCCCAGGGCTGGCTCCTATTTTCATAACATAGGTTTTTTCGGAGGATATTTCTAAGCCCCAAGTATTAGACCATTGCCACAGTGCTTCAAGCGCAAGCTGGAGTGTGTGCGGTTCCCCAACAGAAAACAGTTTGACATCATCCGCATACATCGAGCAATGTACTGACAAGTTGCAAGTTTGTAAAACTAGATCGTTGTCGATCTATTCACCAAAGCTTCGTACACTGTAGAAAGGAATCCCTTTTTTGTTGTCGTTGCATATCAACAGAAAAGGAGTCACTTTCATCACGTGAAACAAGCTAGAAACCGACAACCGGCGTGCCGCGACAAATCACCAGTTTGAAGATGAGCGACACCTCAAAATGGTCATTTGTCGCGGCACGCCTCTATCAATTTTTTTTTGCACATTCCAGCTGATTCCGTATAAGTTGGCTCTAAACGTCCACGTTGGGCAGAACCTCCTCTATGGTCTTACGCACGAGTGCTTCAATCAGAACTTTTGGCTAATCGGTGGCAACGTCCGATATCCGACCACCACTCTCATCATACTCAAGGCTCTCTTTCGTTACAATAACTTTTTGAACTACTGCTTCTGAGCACATTTATTGCAAATCTAGGCCAAGTGCATCATTAGCTCAACTGTTCCCGCTACTTTCAGGTCTATTTAAAGCTAGAAAAAGAAAGTCATGCCAACTTGCTCATCGAGTATACCGCATTCAAAGCTTTGAAAAATTGTAAGAAATGTTTCAGAACAAAATTGAGCAAAGCGTTGGATAGAGCTAGAAAGGTCCCAAAAGATATCTAGATCAATGGCAGTTTTTTTTGAATTCCAAGGAAAATGAAACATCCAAAAGTGTAGTATCAGAAAAAGACAGAACTTTTTGAAAGACCTAATAGTACGGGCAAGTCACTGCTAGTAGCCGGCTAACTGTTTGAAGAAGTTTGCCGTTCGAAAAGGCATTCATACGTTGTCAACCAATGGTTTTAGAATGCAAATCGCATTGAAGAATATACCCCTTCCGATCTAGCATGGTCTTCCCCACTGCGCTTCGCTGCGCTGTTAGCGCGTTACGTCCCTCTGGCTTCCTGAGCCCCTAGCAGTAGAAGAGTGTTAGCGTTGAAAATGGCTTCACTCAATTCAAGGGAAAGCCGAAAGACCACCTACTGATCTGCTGATGAAAATGTAAAAATTGATTAGGAAATCGGTGCAAAAACTTGATCTGCTTCGGGGTGTCCACATAATTTTGATACAGGCGGAAAAATTTCCATTGAAAAATAGTTCGCTAAAATTAGAACGAAATCTTTTGCCGAAATGTCAATAGGTTATCGACCATAAGGCAATGAATCGTGAAGGTTTCATGGAAGATTTAAGCTGATCCCCGAATGTTCGACTCCAGGATGGCCACATGCATTTCGATACGCAGATCGTTCCTGAAAATGCCGTCAACCCGAGTTGAGTCGATCATAAATTGAAATTTCGTCTCCCAAACCCTTGGCATGACTGAGATTCAAGACAATTCAAGGTTACGTAACAAAACAAATTCACAAAAAAAGAAGACGGTTCACCTCGGTCAACCCGCCCCTTGCAGCCGCGCTTTTTTCACTTCCATATCTGTGGGAAAAAAGATCGATATGAAGTGAACTTACTTTATTCCACTTCACTTTAATTTTTTGTCCAGCAAAAAAAATTTGTAATCAAGTTATTTTTTAGTTTCTCATGGTCATATGGTGAAGACTACGGGAGCACCTTATTATCCGATTGTGAATTTGTGATTTCTTTCGCTTGTATAATGCTAACATTTATTATCTACATAGCGATTGTAATATCGCTCTACAAGGTAATTTTGGTAGATTCAGAATGTATGGCGCAGTAGCAGGACCCATTGCTGCTTTGCACAGTAGATGATCCAGCCCAAGATCGGGCATTCGTCGAGAAATCCTACACGAGGGGATCATATTTGCACTTGTGTTAGGGCCAGCAGCGAACAGAGAACCAATAGCATGTGCTCAAGAGAATGACAAAACAACACGTGCCAAAGCAAGGCTTTTCTGGCGAGTTCGGTCAGAGTCTGTTGCGGGCAGAGAAAACTGAAGCTGCTGAAACTGATTGCAAGGCTCTAGCGCCCCTTTTATCCTTTTTCTGGGTTGATGCTCCTGGAGGAACTCATGGCTCCATTTTTCCGAAAGCTTTCTCGTTATTTTTTCTGTCCATTATAATATATGCAACATTTACTTTCAAATTTAGAAAACGAGAGGGGTGAAAACCATGCGTCGAAATGAGCGACAACTGCTGTTGCAAGCTTCTATACTGTTTCTCATTCTGACAAGTTTGATATCATTATGGCACTTCTATTATCTTGTGCTTCCGGACACCGTGTGGACAGTAGTCTCGATCAATGTCTACTGGATTGTGTACTGCGGCTTGAATCCGTTAATGTACTTTGTCTTTTCAAAGTGCGTAGGTTTCCCTTTAATTTTCAATAGCTGGAAACTTTGCCTCTTATCAAAGGAGAGACATGCATCGTTGCTTAAAGCAACAATCCAAGAACGAATTCGCGGGCAAAAACCACCGATAATGAAGTTGTAGGTGAAAGTTGACCAATAATGAAAGAAAAAGTAAAAAAGACGTCGAACAGGGACTTAGACAGGGACTCCCCCTCTGCCACTTAGCAATGGAGGAAGACGCTGTTGGACGAGTTGTCTGAACATGCCCGCAGTAAATGCGCCCCAATTGCAATTGCTGGCAAGTAGCTAGCAATAGCTGGCTACTTGCCAGCAATTGCAATTGGGCGCAATAATGAAATCGTTTCATGTTTTGAAGGTAGAAGGTAGAAGGAAAACGTAGAAATCCAGCGTAGTCGGCATCACCACATCGATTGCTTTGAAGGATCGACCTCAAATAGTCCCGGTGGTCCCGAAACGACCGCAAATGTCTGCGCAGCCAATCACGCACTCTTCACGACAGAAGTGGGCGGCCGTACCGAGGCTCGGTGGATCCGCCCACTTCGACGGCCCCTTCCAACGCCTTTCAAAGGTAAGTTTTCAAATCAGTGACATTTCCTATGTACTTGACTAGGGCTAGTGCATGTTTCCACCCCGATCGAATGGTTGAAACCCTGCTTGGACTGTTGCTTTAACGCACTGACAACAAACTAGTCTAGCTTGCTTGAAAATGTGGACCGTCATCGAGCCACTGGACCACACTTTCATGCGGGCTAGACTAGTTTGTTTGGTTTATATGGCATTTTTCGTGTCCAAACATTCCAACTCCGTAAAACAACTGATTTTTGATTAAAAAAATTTTGAACGTTCAATGACATGTGAGGAGAAGAAAGGGTATAACATTTGGCGTTGATCAATCGTGTGTGCCAGCCATTATACTACCATTCGGTGTTGCGTCGGCATCCCAATTCCACTTAAATTTTTTTCGTACTAACTAATCGACTTTAGTGTGAGGCTCTGTTTGTCTGGCATACTTTGGCCAAGAATTCGACCCTTGACTTTGCGGATGAAGTAAATGGAGTCACTTTTCGTTGCATCACCTCCTACCAATTTCACAAGTTCTAAAGAACGTCGGATGGCAAAAGTGGATTTGGAGAATACAATGATTTTACTATTAGTTTTGCACATTTTGAATCATCGATCCGCATGTGTGTTCTTGTAACTACACAGCGCTTTTCCAAGAATCGTCTTCTCTACGATAACTGCGTTCAGGAGCATCAGAATCGCATATCTTCGATTTATCGGAATATTACCGCCGAAGACACAAACTACTATCTCGTTTGTTGCTGGACCAAATTCACGCCACTAAAATCTATTATTCGGGATCTGAACCGAGCACGTCATGGCAACATTGTTGGAGTTCTTGTAATGATTTGGCGACGTTGCACATACACATTGGACATTCGAAAGGGTTCCACATGTCTATAATGGAGGCTTCCATATGGCCATGTGGTGTTCCCAGTATTGTCTTAGTCGTTTTACGTAAGATTAAAAAGGAATGATCGGTTCGCCTAGAGAACGAAATCCTATAAGATCTCTAATGTTGTGTTCAAGTACTGAATGGTAGAGCATAGGACTATATCGCGATGCAAGAGTGAAAATACGTGTATTCTGCCATGGAGGGATGCTATGATAGAACGAGTAGATGATATGTGACGCATACTGCTTAGGGCCGATCCGAAGGACCTCATGGCCTCACTTTTCCGGATCGGTCACTGGCTTTAGGGGTTGCTTCATTTCCCTTTGCTGCCATGCCGCCTTTAATCGTTGTCCTTAACATAAGAAGCAGTATCGGAGTTAGGGCATTCTCGTTTCACAAATAGTTTGCAATAGTGTTTATGTTTGTTTGTGCTCAAAAGTGGTCGCGGCTGGAAATTCTTTTACTCAGAATGTGTGGTTTTGATGTGCTTTCAATGAAGATTTCTCAGTCGTACTGTTTTGAATGATTAGAAATTTTGCTAGGCCGCTTAATTGTAAATGTTCTGAAAGATTTGAATTTAACTCTATGATTCTCAACGGGATATCAGAATAATCTGCTAGAAGGAGGATATAAATTGCTTAAGCGCAGCATCAGCAATTGGATTAGTACGCAATAGAGACCTGAGGTTTTCAGAAGGCACTTCAGCTCGAAGCGCGGGCCCTGGTAGCTTATCCAAATCAGCATCAATTGATGACGTATTGGCACGAATCCATTACAAAACTATCTTGCTTGATTTTTTCTATAATGTAGTGCACGGGCAGTGGTAATCCTTTAAAATATAGTTTAGAACGTAGTCCCGGGTACGTCTAACGGCAAACAGCAAATCCGTATAAAATTCATTAGCTTTGAGACGCATATCGCAGATGAAGTAGATTATATATTGCACCCAATGCAAATAAGTTGAAGGGTCTTGCCGGGGCAGGCCTTTCAGACATGCGAGAGGACAAGAGGGGCTCCCAGAATGAAGGCGATTTTCCCCTACTGCTTATGGCTGCTCTTCGTGGAAGCTTGGGAGATGTCGAGATTAATATCTACCTCGGCGATAATTTTGTGTAATAGAAATTTTGGGAGCTGGCGAATGTAAAATGATAAGAGGAGAGCGTAATATGCTCATTAGAATACGAAATCCTTTTTGGGATCCTACTTCCACGATACATTCGAAGTGGCGTTTGAATGCGATTTGGCCTATACAATAATTTGCGGGGAGTAGTCGGTGAACGAGTCAGTGTTTTCATCCTCCTAGACAATTTTGGAACCAGCTGATAGTAGGCGAGAAAAATAATTTAAGAAATTATGATATATTCAAAACTTTTATAGAAACTTTTTCATAGTATTGTTGTTAAAAAATCTGATAAGATATAGGGGAAGCTTTCAAGATGTCCTGCAACCTAGCACACAAGCTCGCCTATCCGACAGGCTAGCGACCTCGTTTGCTTGTTACTTTCTTTAGCTAGATTCCAATTTTTTTGAAACCTACTTCTGAGCCTCTTTCTTCATGACTTCAGATTAGGATCTTCCACGCGCCAAGCTATATGGAGGATTAACCAGAAGATAGTTGAGGGCACGCTCTCTCAATCCACGGTGCTCCGGTGGTTACCTCTACTCAGGGTTCCCTCCTTTTATTTAAAATGATCCACACTCCAACCACCCCGTGACTGACAATCTCGATGCTTTATCCGGCGCCATTGAAAAGGAATCTGAACAAAGTTAGCGCTATTTGTCAAAGCGCTTTTGGTGTGACAGGGCAGAGTACTGAGACATTCGATAAAGTCGCTAAGGTTTGAAAATATGGAGTTTGTCTCTCACATGCTCTGAGCCCGAATCAGCTCTAAACCCGATCTGACATCATCATGTTCCTATTGGTTTCCCATAGTTCCTTCGAATGACCATCCAGCAATACTCACGGTGATGTGGACTGGTGCAGTGTTCTAATAAATCCACAAGCCGCAGCTCGTATGATGCCTTCCTGACATTTTTAGGAGTCTCAGCCGTCATTCTCTCACTCACAGTCTAACTGAGATCCGTGGCCTGCTCGGCTTATATTTGGTTGATGGTGAGGAAATGTGCCGTCAGTGGCAATAGCGTGTAGAAGGCAGTGCAGCACATTCACACAGATGACATCATCTATCGTGGAACTTCTTCGGCAGGAGAATCAGTAGGCAGGAAAATGGTAACGTTTTGCTTCTACCCTTTCCGCTCCGACCCTTTCCTTTGTTTTGTCGTCACCAGGGCGAAAATCGATGTCGAGGAAATGGCCGCCTCTTCACGATCCCCTCCCCCCTCATCAGAGGATCCGATACGACCCCTTTTTCCCTCTGCACATCCGGTTTCATAATAAAAATTTTCAGACGCGCAAGAGGGAGGCAGCCCCGCCGCCACGCGAATGCTCCGCGGTTGAAATCTTGAGCCTAACCACTGGTTAGAGCTTTTTGAAGAACGGAACCTAAAGACCAAAAAAGGAACAGGGAATAGACTTCTATTAGAGAAGAACGGGGAGTACAAATGGACAGAGGGTGGTGAATAAATACTGTTTAACAGTCTCGCGCTCCAGTATAGCGGCGCTAACTACCCGCGATCGCGTCGCGCGCTGTGCCTAGAGCGCGCTAGTTGGAAAAATCGTCAAATGTACCCCCTATTTAAAGGACTATAACTTTCTTCATTGATAACCATTTCAGAAAGTGAAGGCAGCTTTTGAATGCACAAGACTTCTAGTTTCTAAATTGTGCTGAGCGTTTTTCTAAGCACGCCTATTCTCGAGAGTGGGAGACGTCGAGGAATTGTCGAGGAAATTGAAATTTACATGCGAGTTCCCACTCTTTGGAAGACAGTAGCTGTCTTCATTGGCAATGCTTTGAAAATCGGAGGAAAGCGTTGTAAAGTAGAAGATTTGCGCTTTCTGATAGGTGCTCCAGTTGTTTCGAACGCTTCTAGTTCGCGAGAAATTTGCGTCGAGGATTTTTCAGTGCCACTCGAAAACTCTATTTCTTCTTCGCCGTAGCAGGGAACTTCTTTGAACACCCTTCAAAATGCTGTCTGGGCACGTCAGTCGATGAAGTAAATTGAAAATGATGCACTTGGCGCAGATCCATTCCGTTCTTGTATGCGCCATGCAGTGACCCCACTCGGAGTCGTTTGAAAGGTGTTTCTCCTGTACGACAACTACTTGTGTGTTTCTAGTCTCAATTAATCAGAATAACTCTTATGTCATAGTATAGTATGATCACTTCCTTTATTAACGTTTCCTTTCCGACCCTGTTCCGATGAATGACGCATTTGCGGCTGCAGTATTTGACTATGCCAAGGAGACTGCGAATCTCCCCTTTTGAACTTTCTACTAATATACTGTTCCTCCACTAGATTCTCAAATGTGTACATTAATTTAGAGTAAATATTCGCTGCCCATTCCCTACGATTCTTCTGCAGGACGCGTTTCCTCTCTATGTCTTCGTACTAATCACTACGAACCAAATCAGCAAGCACCTTCCATTTAAATTTTAATTCCAGACAGTTGTAAGATATCATTTGCATTACGCTAACTACAACACTTGTGAAATTAATGATGACAGCAAATAAGTGGCAGCAGCACCGTTGTGTCCGTTGATGAACCTTTTGATTACGACCCCCTCCCAACTCTCATCGGAGCAAATACGACCCCCTGTCGAGGATTTCCTCGACCGTTATTCATCCTGGTCGTCACTGCAATATTTGCCACCTTAACTTAACTTTAATTTCCAATTTCAATCAAATCATTTTACCATCTGCTTATGAGAAAAAAGTTAATGACGCTCGGCGTATACTTTTGACTGCTACTGCAGATGTGTATAGTTTGATTCAGTCTCCGTAATCGGTATCTGAAGCGCAAGTTAGAAATTTTTATAATTTTGAATACAGCAAACCATAAAATTCACATGAGATCATAGTTTATGGGAACAACGACAGTGAATATCCCAGCGGATGTCTCTCTACAGAGAGTTCATCGAAATGCTGAGTATGTGGAATGAAAAAAGGAATGAGCATACAAGGGCCGTAATTACACAACTGAGCGGCGGTCTCAAACAAATTATGCTAAGGCACTCGTGTTATTGCTACAGTATTGTCCGTGACGGGTGTGAGGTGGGGTGGGCGGGGCCTGAGCAGATTTAACAAGCGTATTGCAGAATTGAAAACATCATTAATCAGTACGAAGAACACATGTGGAAAAGCTTAAAATTAATAGTTGTGCAAGCTCCATATCTTGAAGCCTGGAAGGGTGTGACGGAAGTAGGTGGTCGAAACTGTGTGAGGGGAAATGGGCTTGTCAATGTGTTGATTGCTTCTGGAGGTCAACATTCCTTTTTTTGATTCGACCTTAACCATACCGTAGTAAACTAAATCAATCACCAATAATGAACAGGTTACTAAGCCGTTGGGCAAAAACCTAACGGTAGCCGCGGGCAACACTACAAAACAGTATGACCACATGAGTTTCCTGCCACCTTTCTCCGGCCCAAGATATGGAGAATAGGTGTGTGTGGGTGTGGGTGTGTGATAGGAACCGTTTCGATGTGTACACGTCGTCAGTGTTGAGCAGTCTCGGAGAGGCTTGCGGCGCTGAACAAAGCCTTCGGTGAAAGTGAAATGGCTGGCTTGAAAATTCCTTCTGAAATAACAAAGAATTACTTGATCGCACCTCTTTCCTAGCATGTTTATTAATTCAGCGGCAGCACCCCATCATTGTAAAGTTGTGGATAGGACAAGAATCAATGTTCAGGAAACAATGTGTAGAAAGAAATCCACTGTATCCTTCTATTTATAAAGCGGCTCAACTTTGACAGAAAGAACGCGGGGAC